CTGACTTGATGACTTTGGTTATTAGGAACCTAGAAATCCCAACATAAAGCCTACTAGGAAGAGGAACATTGCCAAGGACAAACTTGCAGTAAGTGCCACAGTTTCAACTATGTTTTCACTCATCAAAATTTTATATCATGGAAACTTCTAAGCCTTTATTTGTTTTAGGTAAGAAGGAGAGATGGTGGAGACCAAAGTGGCGGACAACAGAGTATGCAATTAAGGCAAAGGAAACAGTCAAGCACTTCCCAAGGGCCTTCTCAATCCCAGGCATCTCAAGTAGCTGCTGCTTCTCTATCCCAACCATCTGAAGCAGCTGATGCTTTTCAATCCCAGCCATCTCAAACACCTGAACCTGCCAAATTATCTCGAGTACAACAACGTCGGAAGAGGATGAAAGATCAACAGAGGAGCCATTTTGTCAAAGATCCTTTTTTTCATCCTTGAATGTTGTGGAAGACTTTAATGGTTGTTGGTTGTTATGTTTGGAACCTGTTAATGTATGTTACTGTTTTGGAACATTTAAATGTATTTGATGTATGTTATGGTTTGAATATTTGATGTATGTTATGGTTGGACCTGTTTTGGAACCTGAATATTTAATGTATGTTATGGTTGGAACCAATTTTGGAACCTATTTTGGTTTGTGCATATTTCCTGAGGTTGTTATGGTTGGAATCTGTTTTGGAACCTGTTTTGGTTTGTGCATATATTGCTAAGATATATGTTTTGGAACCTGTTTTGGTCTGTTTTGGAATCTGTTTTGGAACCTGTTTTGGAACCTGTTTTGGTCTGTTTTGGAATCTGTTTTGGAACCTGTTTTGGTTTGTGCATATATTGCTAAGATATCTGTTTTGGAACCTGTTTTGGTCTGTTTTGGAACCTGTTTTGGTTGGAACCTGTTTTGGTTTCTGTTCTGTTTTGGAACCTTTTCTGTTTTGGTTTGTGCTTATAATGACAGGTGCTTTTGCTAGTTTTGGGCTTTGCCTCTTGCTTTCCAGATTCCAGTAAACTTTGGCATGTTACCAAAAGCTACATATCCACCATAAACTTTGGCAAAGAAGGCAGGTCCTGCTTTTTTAGGGAAAACTGAATTTTGGTTATCTTCTTCTACATTCATCAAGAAATTACCATTCAATTTACCATTCATATCACATATCAAACTTAACTAGCATTACATTACTTAACTAACTAGCATTACATTCATGTCACCATTTGTAACCTCTAAACAGCTTACCATTCATGTCACCATTTGTAACCCCTAAACAAATTACATATCCAGTAAACTTAACTAGCATTACATTACATTACACCAAATGACATTACATTACACTGCCAAAGTGTCTTACATTAGATTAGCATTTGTTCTCAAATTAAATTTGCCCATTAAACTACTGCCAAAGTGCTTAACTACTGCCAAAATGCTTAACTACTGCCAAAATGCCTTACATTACATTAACATCAGGTATCAAATTACAATGCCCAATGAACTACTGCCAAAGTGCCTAATTCATCTTCATGGCAAACACCACCAACCACGAAAGCAACATAGCAGCCCACAATATTTTTGACTTTGCTCGAATATTTGCATTTTCCTTCTCCACCCTATCAATCTTCCTCAGCAAACCAGGTATCAACGATTTTGAACGCTCACACATTTCTGCATCAAACCACTGAAAAAACCTACATCCTTTTTCTCCCCTTCCCTGTATCAACCAAGAACAACGACTGAAAATTTGGGTGGTCAAATGACTCAAAATTTCATCAATCACTGACAATTTCATCACTAACAACTCTATCAATTTGTGATGCCCAAAATAATGACTGAAAATTTTATCTTAAACATGCTTACCTTTGACTTTGGGCAGACTAGAAATCTTCGCCCTGGGTTTGAACTGGTCCACGAAGTCTGCATCCGTGCTAACTTCCCACAATGACACCATTGGCCATGCCCTCCTTCTCCTTGCTTCTCTCCTGTTTCCATCATCCCAAATCTTCTACTCCACAACCTTCCAATTTCAAACTCCACCTCAGAGTTTTACAAAGAATGATTTCTTCTCCAATTTCTCCCAAAATCGAAGGAACCCTCAGATTTTGACAACAACCCTCTTCTCCTCTTCTCCAATGAACCCTAAACCCAATTTCCCCTTTGTTACAAACTGAGAAACCCTTATTCGAACAGCTTCAAGGTTAAAACGAAGTGGGGCCCACTATTCGTAACGGACCGTCAGAAAATTTGACGGATGGGGTAAATTGAGACGGTTATTTATACGTTGGGGGGTACTTTGAGACGTTTTCCACCACAGGTGGTAATATGAGAAAAACGTAAAAGCACAGGGGGCATGTGCATAATTAAGCCTTTTTATAATTCTCGACAGAATTGAAAGTGCCCCTTTCAGCATATTATTTTCCCACTAACGAACCTGAGGGTATGACTAATTTGTCTAATAGTCCACTAGATTGAAAGACCTTATTTATGAATTGACACATGCATGAACTTGGGATTTTGGAGTCACTAATTTGTCTATATAGTCAATTCATAAACAAAATTAGAAATCATTAGAAGCAAATATCCACCGGTAATCTGGACACAAACAAAATTAGAAATCATTATCTTATTTAATCCACCGATAAAGGTTCAATCAAAATAAAATTCTCAGTGCAGATATGGCTTTAGCTAAGTACGTTAAAGCAAATATGCTCTCGAGTTTGAATCCCCCGTAATTTATATTAAATTAAAATAAAATCTCGCTTGTATAAAAAATATTTAAAAATCTCAATTTTTTCCTTCTACGTTTTTTTATTCTGGGGAGGGGAGTGTTCTGAGAATATGCATATGGTCGATTTGACATCCACATTCTTGACAGCATAAAATAAGGAACAATTCTACTGCTGCTGTTTGCTTTTGCACTGTCGCATGGAACCCAATAGAAGATAGAGTCTGGGTCCAGTGCTTTATTTAGAAAAATATAAATATATTTCATAGGGGTTTTCTTTTTATAAGGTGCCCTACCTCTAGGATCTTATTCTTAGCTTAAGATAAGGTGAAGCGGTAGAGGGTGCAGATATGGAGAATGACAATGATTTAACTAGTGCAAGTGGTGACACCCACTACTTCCAAAAGGGTACGGTTAAAAACAAACAAATGTTATTGGATTAGGTAAATAATAGGACATCGTATCGGCAGCAAGGACAAATCTTCTATTCATGTTGATAAAGGATGATCTGTTTACCAAATGAGATGTTTGTACAGAAAAATATAGGGACTGTTTTTTGCGCTTTCGTGGGAGTAATTCAATTTCGTACTAACTATTGTATACGATTATATGTCTATCTTTCTCATTACGTTACTTATCAAACAAAGAAAAAATGAAAATTCGAACTTGAAACTTCCTCTAAAAATAGAGAAATACCAACAAATAAATAGTTCATTGGTATTATAGATACATCGCCGATTTGGTGAACAATTTTGATGAATAAGTTTGATAAATAGGAGTGGACATGGTTCGATTTAATGCACTCCACCTCAAAATCACCAACGATTGCACTTAGGGGTCATAATTTTATACAAAAGGGAATTGTTATTGGCACTCTAAAATAGCCATCATACATACTCTTTCAAGTGAAACTTTTTCCTTATATTTTCATAATAAAGACGTGTAAAATAACTTTTTTAGAGTGTGAACAACCGCTCCCTTATAAAATATACCAGTAACTTCTCTTCATAATAATTGGCATTGGTTCCACTTCCACCACTATAGGAACACAGAAGCAACCACAGGCGACAAATGAAGGTAGGTTCATCCTCATCCATCACCAAATTAATCCGACTACAATTCCACTTGTGTTATATGGCAAGCGCATGACATGAGAAGAATATATAAGAGATATGCTGTCACCTGTAAGATGATGATCATACAAGCAAGCTCTATTTAATTGGTGTTCAAATTAATAATACTAGAATCCCACTAAGCTGGTGCATCTCTTCATCTTTTTCTCTCTTTTTCTTTCTGTCATTTATTTGGTCTCTTTTTCTTTATGTCATTTATTTGGTCGAATTCATGTGTTATTTTTCTTCTCAATATTGAAAGATATCTCGAATTTGCACCACCCCTTAAAAGTAGAAAATAAATTTAAAGATCACTCAAATAGAACCAACAATCAATTATCGCTTGAATTGTTTTCTATCCTTTCCTGTCACCCTCTCCACCTCCAAATGAATGGGACGTGAGCCAAACATTTGCTTTGCTTGTGTGTTGCTCAATGCCGTAGAATTACATTCTTGCCCACATAATAGTCCTTAGCACACTTAGCGTCCAGATAAGTTTCTAAGTTTCGTCGCTAATTAGTATATGCATTAAATGAAAGGTCAAAAGGCCCAACAAACAAATGCAAATCTTTTCGTTTAAAAATCAACATACAAAAGGCCAATCAAATATATAGAAACATAGCAATGCTACAGAACCATATATAATACAGCCCCTAAATACGTTTCAATAAGCTGCTCAACTTGTTTCCGTCCAGTCACTGCTTGTTTGTTCCTAGGCAACGATTCCCTCGGCTCTTTGTCATGTGCAACAACGCATTCAATCCCAACTCTCGAAGCTCACTATCGAAACAGACCCACATCACAAATACAAGCTGGAAAATCAGATTGATGCACAATTCATAAACCTTTCTTTGTTCATTCACTAAAGAAACAACTTTCAAACTAAGCGGCAAGGCTGCAACTGCAAGCATATCTGAAAAAAAACTTTACCATCCTTTTCTTTTCCCTTCTTTTTCTTTTCAATCGTCTTTCTGGCAAGAAAATAGCCGATCAATTTCCTTCGGCAACAGGAACAAATCAAGATAAAAGCTCAGGGACCACGAGTAGGGGCAAAACAGAAACAGCCCGGAGAACGGTCTTCAGGTATCATCCCACCTCCTTTACTCGTATCAATTGTTTCCAACATTCTCACCACCTCACCCATTTCAGGACGTTTATTTGCATTTGCGTCCCAGCACTTGCGCATGATGTTCGAAAAAGAACTCGGACAGCATCTGGGGATTTCTGGCCGTAAGTTCTGTTAACAAACCATATAGTACGAACAATGAAACGCCCATGAAGAGTTAGATGTCAAATCTTCGAGTAGATATACAACTTCAATTACAAAGACCGCCACAAAAGTCCATTCATTAAGACACTGGTAACTCAACTAACTAAGCCTTGATCTTTGGAGTCTTAGACCCAACCAACAGGCAGAAAAGTACAAGATATGAGCTAAATCTTCATGCAATTTTCTTAAGTCATTTCAGATTTTTCTTATTTTGGTCATTGTCAGCAGAGAAGCAAAATAAATAAACGTTGCTCATTAAATGAACAGTAAGCAGTCTTATAAAAGCAGATAACTTTAAACTGGGTGACCTAACTTAGCGATTTGGATTTTGACAATGAAGCTACATTTTATTGGAAAAGCAACAAAAATATTGAATTCAATTTATTTCGAAAGGTGACAATGGAACATTTTGAATTTGAAATTATCAGATACAATGAATCATCAGAAATATAAATGCACAATGCAAATATGAAAATTCATGTATCATGCAACTTTTACATATAAAACATAAGCCAAAATCCCTAGATTTGAAATCCCACATTTCAAAAGGACCTTTAAAGTTAAACATGGACAAGTCAAACTCTAGATCATGCCAGTTTTCCTTGTATTTATATAATGTAAAGAGATATATATTTATTTCTTGAAAAAAACTGACCTGTCGGACAACTGCAGATGATACATCAGCAAAGCTAAGGTCTGGGTAAGGCATATCGCAGCAATAAACTTCCCATAAGCATATGCCAAAGCTGTAGACATCGCATCTTCTATTATAAGGCTTACCATCCAGAACCTACATATATATCTTGTCAGCTTAATGATTTACCACTTAAAACCTCACAAAATATCACACGAATTAAGAGAAATACAGAGAGGAAAGAATAAGAGAGGTTTTTCTTTTCACGCCCAATAATGTACATAAAATTGATTTTTTTTTCTTCTCTTTTATGGAGGTATTTGTAACAAGCTAACAGCACAAATGATAATTTTACCTTATCACAGGGGGAACACAATATCAGAGTCCCAGACAAAACCAACCCCAAACCCGATAAAGAAGAATCATCTTTAGCACAATATGCAAGATGGAAAACATAATTCAACTCAATAGTATCTCCTTGTTGCTTCTTTCCTTTTTTTTGGAATATATAATTAACCCCCATAAACTTTAGGCTAGTCCCAATGTTCCCCTAAACTTCTAATTCTATCAATTAACACATGTTAAAATGGATGGAAATTTCATGTGCCTTTCACATGACATTAAGGAAAGCTCTCATACAGACTCATGTGACGAGCCTCTCCTTCCGACGAGCACCGTAAGGCAGGTCACCTCATGGGCAACTACGGTGGCCACATCATCCCACACCCACATAACAGGTCGTTTGCTATGTCAGTGGAAAAACCAACACTGTCCTCAACTGCCGCACGTTCTTCTTTTCTTTTTATCATAGCCATAAGCCCCTCTCCCTCTCTAGCCAACTCGCTCTTAAACCCTTCTCAAAGGTTGGCCCTTCATGCTCTAAGTATCAGCTCCAGCAACAACCTGGACTCCTAAATCTTTATCATCGGCGATAAATACTTTGATAACATGATCCACAATTACAATCCTCAATTCTTGAACTAAACCCTCTCACCTTGGCCATCTCATTCTTTCATCTAAAGCTCAATTTAACATATTGATCAAGCAGATTCCCAGTAACACGAAAAGGTCAAAGGAATAGTTCTTAAATGCTTAGTGTTGTTGATGTGTGTCGAATAAGAGGTTATCATACTTGACCTCAATGAATTACTTCTCTTGATGCCTGGGAACAGACAGAATACCGAGCAAGGTGGTGTGCAGTATATTGATTTCATAACCAACTTAAAGGCTCAAAACAACATCCTCAATTGGGTCCCTGTCTTCATCGCCTTCACGAGCGAATTTGGTGGGGTTAGAGTAAAGAATCAGAAGCTGGGAACTGAGAAATAGTTTGTACAAATAAGTGTTGGTATTTTTTGGGGAAAAGCAAGAGGAAGGTGGCTTTGTTATATGTTGCTCTGGTTTCAACATGGATGTTGAGAACCCTGTGAGAGCATTTTTGCTGAGCCCATGTGCCTTTGCACATGCTCACAACAGCCTTATGCAATTTTTGTTGTTTTAAAATATGTTAGTGTGGTTTCGGCAGGTAGTTTAGGCTTTCTCACATGAAGGGCACACACTTATTCATATGTAAAGCTTGCGTGTCATTTCCATCCATTCTAAAGTCCAAAGCTAAAAAAAAGATGCATGCACAATTAAGGTGTGAACTGATGAAATTAGAAGTGTAGGGGAGATTTAACCTTATATCCCCCCCCCCCCTTTTTTTTGTTAATTTATTTCAAGCTCATAGAGCACCAGACAGTTACTTTTTTAGTGTGAAATAATATTCCAGCTACACAAAAACACATAACAGGTTTTAACTAGGCATGCATACCTCTGGGGCCATGTATCCAAGGGTACCAGTTTCACCAGTCATGTCCCTTGGATTCTGAGCTTCAACACGAGCGACACCAAAATCTGCTATTTTAAGGTTTCTGCGAGTATCAAGCAACATATTTTCTGTTTTGACATCACGGTGTACGATTTTTTGAGAATGCAGATAGCAAAGACTGCAAGAGGAAGGGTAACAATCCCAGATCAATAAGAATTTTACTAGAAAAGTATGTAGCTGAGAAATGTATAGAACAATCGAACTCACCCTCTAGCCAGGTCCAAAGCAAGTTGGATCACAACCTTAAAGGCAAGTTTCTTTTGCCTGTTTCTTATCAAGTATTGCTTTAGTGTCCCACCAGCGAGATACTCCACAACAACACAACATGCTCTTGCAGGATTAGAATCTAGACCATCACTTGAAGAGCTTTTTGAAGGAATCTTAAGATCTGAAGTTCCCATTGAAGCTCCAATGAACTGAGACAAAGAGGAGGGGTGGAAGAATCGTTGAGTGATAATCTCCACAACTGTCACTTTTACATTAATAATGGAGATTGCAATAAACTGAATATAAAAAATCAAAAGAAAACTGGGTCTGTACCTTTGTAACATTAGGGTGGTCAAGCTTGTGCCAGACAGCAACTTCTTTTTGAAAAGATTCCCGCGCAGCATTAGTGTCATTAGCTGTGGCATAACCATCCTCCCCCCAGTCCAACACCTTAACTATAAAATTCAGCACGAGATTGCAATGAGAATTTGATATGCATGCCAACAAAGTGGCAGAGCACTACTGTACCACCACTGCAAACAATTGCTATCGATCTCATTTAACATCAGTTTTTTTTCTGGTACTCTAGAAATGAAATGACTAGTGTTAGAACAGATTAAACAGTCATGCTTCAATCATAAAGTTTGCAAATCACCATGTAAAACAATTCAAACTCCGCCAGGTTCCTGACAAGACAATACTAATGCAACAAAATATACTAAATTGACTTCATTTGCAGAGTTCTATAACTTTATGCAAAGTTATCAAACTACTATAAATAATCTCAGAAGTATGACGTTTCCTTTTTCATTTTACAGAAATTAAGCTCTAGAATAATAATCCAAAATAAAATATCCATTATTAATTAACTGGCATCCTGGCTCCTCAAGTGTTTTTCTTTAACTTTGACTAAATATATTCTTTAATAGATTTGCTTCAGCATTATAATGTAACTCAAATAAGATCATTCATAATACGAAAGTGGTAGCTCCAATTTATATTGCATAAATCCAAAGAATTTCAGAATTATCAAAGAGAGTACATATGATATGAGGTTGAGCACCGACTTTTATGGCTGCTAATGATTGATTGGAAACAGAGCGAAACAGAGCAATTGGAGTAATATAATCACATGTTGGAAAGTGCCATAAACAACATCAGTACAGAAGTTTTAAAAATTCATACAAATTAAGACTGTCTATGGTTTTCTATCAGGATTATGAACGGTTTTAATGTCTTGATCAAAATTCTACTAAGGCCTGGAAGTATAACAGAACTTGTCAATCACAACACTCTTACACCAATAATACAGATTATAAAGATAAATTATATGTAACACTTCAATATCATGCGTTCAACGTTGAAGTGGAACACATAATTCAGTTTCACCTACAGACTTGATATATGCCAAATTAGTGTTTTAACATGACTCACCAAAAGCAAAGGGAAATGCTAAAAACATATTGTTATTTTTATTCATATAAATCCCAATTCAACACCAGAAATGGCCGAAAGGGATTCAGCGTAGCAGTTCTTAGAATTAACTGCCAAAAAACTAGTTATTCAATGCCAAATTAACATAAGAGATACACAGAGAAGATGGATGTATTCAATACAATATGTAAAGAAAGCTCCTTCCTTTTTTTTTCTTTCCATCATGTCCTACACAGCCAGAAAAAATCAAAATCACAATGGGAATGGGATTATCAGTGATTACCTGCAACGTCTCGTTCATCGTAGGTACCCCTGTATACAATACCATAGGTCCCTCTAGCTACAACATATCTTATATCCAATTTAGATAAATCAATCTCCCACTCTTCCTTAGGCCTGGTTCTCTCAATGTTCTTGGACCAAACCCTGCTCAAGTGCTTCTCAAGCTGTATATCTATGTTCTTCAAATCAATTTTATCAGCTCTGAAGATCATCTCTTTGCTACTAATACTTCCTGTACCCTTAATTTTCGGATCCATCTGTTTGTTACTAATGCTTCCTGTACCCTTAATTTTTGGATCCATATCTTTGAAACTAATGCTTCCTGTACCTGTACCCTTAATGTTAAACTTCATATCGCCTTGCTGGAGATCCACCTGCTTCGATACAATGTCACCTTCAAAATTCTCACTTGTCCTTGAATCCATTGCTGACAATCAATACAGAAAAATCGACAGAGAAAATCCAAACTACCAACGGTAATGGGAACAGCAAAAAGAAATGAAACAAAGCTAAACCCAGAAACAATCTGTTAAGCTGTTGTCATAGAAAACATGATCAACAAAAGACTTCAATTTTTCATCATCATCTTTGCCAGATATGCATGCAGCAACCCATCAATGATAAAGCTCAAAACAGATAGATTTGGAAAACCCTTCTTTGGTTAACAATAGAACTCACCAACAAAGCTTTCCTTAAATTTAACAAATGAAATAAGATGGAAGATGAAAAAGGAATATATGATGTAATTGAAAACCAATCACACCACCCCAAATGTCTCCAATGTTGACCTCATAACCCAAAAAACAATTTCTGTTAATATGCACCAATAAAAAAATCAATACCGACTTTCCCTTCTTTTATATTCCAAATGAAATAAATGAAAACAAAACAACCTTCAAAATCCCAAGTATTTCATCACCAACCACTTTTCTTTGATTTCTTTTCTATAAATAATAACAAAAGAATGAAAGTAAACTCTCAGAAAACGACACAATTTCCACAACTGTGTGACCAAAGACCAATGACCCTCAAAAGATTGAAAATTCAAACACAAGCCCAAAAAACAAACCCACGGAGAAGTACCAGAAGAATCACGCGTGCAAAAAAAAATCCCAATAAATCCCGAAACTGGAATATATTATAGGGAGACGAAAAGGTTTACTTTGAACACCAGAGAATCGAAGAAAGACAAAGTCGTTGGAGGGCAATGAAAAAACAGAGAATGAAACAAACTGTAACAACAATAATGAGCAGAAAACAACATTTTTGCGGTGTTGGGCAGTTTGGGGCTTATGGGTTTTTCGTTTTCCTTTTGGTTTTTCCTTTGTGGATGAGATTTCGAGGAGGATTAACCAAAAAACCAGAACAGGAAACCACAGCCCAGAAGGCAGAGGCGAATGAATGAGAGTTTTAGAGAGAGAGGGAGAGGGGAGGGAGAGAGAGGGAGAGGCGAGAGAGATGCGCGGGTTTGCCTAATGTACGGCTTTGAGGGAGAGAGACTGTTTCAAAAGTCAAGGAAAATACCAGAAGAGAGGTATAATTGACAGGTACATACGAGAAAGGTGGCCAGGAGAAAATAATTTTCGTAACAATTGACCCAAAAAAGAATTCGTAACAGAAAAACAACAAATCTGTCTGATTAAAATTTAAAAAAAAACAAACAAATCTGTTCCACGGCGCGGGAGGACCCAAACTCTGTCTGTTTACCTAGCTTACGTGTACTTGTTTAGACGGACCCAACCCAAGTCTCGTCTATATAATAATAAAAAGTGGGAATTTTTATCACTAATTATTAACCCATCTCAATTTGGTACTTTTGAAAATTGTTGGGTACTAGAAACTTTTCCAACTTTTGAGGTATCCTTAATTTAAATTAATTTTTATATCTAAACTTTTAAATTAGATCGATTTGGTACTCAAATTATAGCTTCGTTGCTCAAATTAGGGAAGAGATGAATATGTTTTGAAGAGTTATTAGAACACTTTTACTCATTTGCTATGACAAAAGGCAATGGCAAGTAAGGCTAGTTACTGTTTACATAAATAGTATCTGTTGTAGCATTTTTTTTTTTTTTTGTGCTTTTTCATCCATTGTCATGACAACCCAAGGGCAATTACTATTCACATGGGATTAATTTGAATTATATGTATGAGATTAATAAATAAAATATTGCTAGGTATGTGTTATAAAAAAAAATTCTTACTTTTTTTTGTAATTTTTTTCAATTTTTTTTATAAAAAAATTTATTCGTTGACATCAGAGCCCTCAGGCTGATCTAGCCTTCGAGCTTGTCCAGACTTGGTGGAGCCCACATCCTACTTGGTAGGGATGACAACGAATCAAGTAGGAGCCGAGTATGACAATACAATCTTTGTCCTCAATTTTATCAAGTCTTCTTCTCAATTTTTCTTCACTTTCTTCCATTCAATCCTCTTTGGTGAAATCTCCCCAACCCAAGCATATAGGAGCAGAGCTTTTTGGGGTTCCAAGACTTTCCTGCGGCTGGACTCCTCTATTTGCATGAGGCACCTCTTACTTTTCCTTCTTGTTTTCCCACTGTTTGTGCCCAATAAATCACGGTCATAAACTAACCGAAGGGATTTCCTCTCGGCCCTGACACCTGCTCATAAACTAAAACGGCCACGTTTCGTTAGGCATTTTGCCTTCCTAAAAACAGAAGAAAGGATGCGAAGGCAAAATCCTCTCGGCCTCACGACCGCGGTATTATGGGCCAAGGCCGAAGGCTGTAAGAGACACGGCCGAAGATACTATGGTTAAATCGCCACGTGGCCTCAGGGTCCCACGCCCCATTTAATGAAGTAATGCCTCTGACTATCGCAGCAAATCCATTGGTCGCAAGAAGCATTTAATGCACGAAGGAAGAGGGGAAGTGACTGAAGTCAGGATTTGGTAGCAGGAATCAGAGTGATTAAGCGCAAACATTCTCATAAGTATTCTTACAACTTGAGGTCAGATCACCAACCACCAGACCAGGGCCTTAAATGCGTTCCCACGGCCAAGGGCGCAGAACCCATGATCAGGGCGGTGGCCAAGATTTGCCGAGATTTATGGGGGTCACACCACCATGCTTCACGATCCCAAATGCCAATTTGACTACCCACTTGCCTCGATCAGACTCCACCATACAGATCTTTTTCAAGCCTCGATTGTCCCTCCAGGACTCCCCCTATAAATACTAAGCTTAAGACTAAGTTCAAAGGGTCCAACACCAAACCAAAAGCTTCCCACGGAGCAACTTATATTTTCCTGCAATGCACTTTCAATACCTTTAATTGCTTTTCTCGGAGTAGTGGTAGATTGTAAGGAAAATTCATTCATCAATATATCATACGACCCTTGATTTTCAAGGCGCCGGAGCACCATCCCTGTTATCGTCTCATTCACCCCATATATCATACGATCGTCGCTCTCTGAGCAACGCGCCGGAGCACCGCCTAAAACCCACCACCAACACCACCATTAAACGGCCTTGTAGCTCAGGCCGTGAACCTGACGGCCGAGATAAGTTCCTTTCTCGATCACAATCGTTTGATTAGAAGTCCAACTCAAAATAGGCGCATCACTTAACCATCTTCTACCCGAACCTCATCACCATCTCGACGCACGGTAGACCGTGCTGGCACGCCCGCGCACAACCGCACAGCATCCAAAAGAAGGACGTTACTTGTTCACGCACATCCCCTTGGCCCGGAGCACTAGGCCGTGAGATTTGCGCATGCAACACCCACCATAGAGTGGCTTGTAAGTTTGCCTTGGTTTCGTCAAGCTGCTGGAACAGCCTATCTGCATAGATTTGCTTTAGTTTTGACAAGGTGCTGAATATTTTGACTGATGTGGGATATTTCTAGGTGTTGTAGGCCATTGGATATTTTCCTAAGGTATTAGGTTTTCTCTCTCATGCTTACCCATATGTTTAGGCTCAAGAAATTGGCTTGAGTTTTGGTGCTCCCAAGCAGCCCAAAACTTCCATTGGTGCTCCCAAGCAGCCCAAAACTTCCATTTTTTGGACCATCAATGGGCCTCTTGAATACTCGTAACCATCCATACCACAACCTGCTCAGCAAGCCCTAGGCATTCGTGTGGCTTGGGCCCACTTAAGCTTGTAGCGTAGCTTGGTACTAAGATAAAGGTTTTTCACTTGGCATTGCATGTTATTTGACGTGCTTGTGCTTGAATTTTGTCATATTGTAATGGTTATGGCCGGGCCAAATGACACTCAACGAGATAATAAGCGAGGGTTCATAGAGCCAGTACATTTTACGGGCTTGTTACCACCTTTCTGTGTGGCATGTTGCGTATTTGCTTCACGTGGCACGTGTGCAAGCGCATATGACAAACTCTTGCGTACCCAAGTCAAGTTTTCTCTCAGTAAGGTGTCGTACTGGGCCAGGAATATATCTGGGCCCAACCTTGGATTTTTTGGGCCTAAAAAATTCCAAAGAAGATTAGGAAGAATTAAGAGAGGGAGGTTAACTTAGGGTTAAACATAAATATTATAATTCTATATTTATTTATTTAAATATAAACATATATATTTTCGGGTCAGGTTCAGGGATGGGGACTCCAAAACCATCCCCTCCCCACACCCATCCGGGATTTTTCAAGTTCGAGGATCCTCATACCCAATACCAGTTTGGCCTCGAAATCTCCCCTCATTAGGGTCGAGGACCCGCCCCTATGGGAATTTTTGCCATCCCTACAAATCGGGATAGAATTCATTAGTTGAGAGGTTTTTTCAATCCAGAGGGCAAAAGGCCATGAGTGGAAATGCTCTTAGGATCTTTCAAGTCATGTAAAAATAAGAGTAGGTCACATGCATCAAATGCCATCAATTTTTTGTTTTTGTAAAAGTTAGAAAAGAGTATCTCCCAACGATGGTTTAGGATTAAATGAATTTGGAGTAGAATTGTTGGTTAGAGAAACTTACTTGAGGCTGGGACTCATTATTCCTCCAACGGAAATTAGGATGATTTCTTGTTGCTGGATTGTAGGTCTCAGAAAAAGAAGAATATGCCTTTTGATAATTTCCTATGATTGCACACCGTTCTTCATAAGCTCATTTCATCTCGTGTAACAGATGACAATTTTTAGTGCAGCGACCAATCTCATAACAAACATCACAAACCTAATTAATATTGGTGGAATAAACATGTTGAGGTGCATTAGATATTTCGATTTTTAAAGCAACTGCCTCTTTGGCCAAATTCTCATATTTTAATTTCAAATAATCTTCCTCCTTTTAATTGAAAATTCCCTTTACTAACAAAAGAGGAAGTAGACTTAGAGCGATTAGTACTTTCAAATGGACTAGGAGTGGTCCACTGATTAGATTTTTCATAAATTTCATCAAGAAAATTTAAATGAAATCCTTATTCACGTAAATAGTATCTGGCCTAGCAATGATTTTTGTGCTTTTCCACCCATTGTCATGGCAACCCAAGGGCAATTACTATTCACATGGGATTAATTTGAATTATATGTATGAGACTAATGAATAAAAAATTGATAGGTATGATATTTTTTTTGTAATATTTTAGAATTTTTTTCGATATTTTATAAAAAAATTTATTCGCGAACGTCAGTGCTCTTAGTCAACAGCTCGAGCTGATCTAGCCTTCGGGCCTGCCTAGTCTTGGTGAATCCTATCAGGGCTAGAATTCATTGGTGGAGAGGTTTTTTCAGCCTAGGATGGCAAAAAGCCATGAGTGGAAATGCTCTTAGGATCTTTCGAGTCCGATAAAAATAAGAGTAGGTCACATGCATCAAATGCCATCAATTTTTTGTTTTTGTAAAAGTTAGAAAAGAGGAGGGTTTTTTTCTTACACACACTACCAAAATGTTATAGAATTCGAACATGAGACTACCCCATCGTCCAAATACCATCAGACTTGACCAGACAAGCATACTTTTCTTAATAAATATCAAGATTTAAAGTTCAAAACAAAACTCACAACTACAAGTCTAGGTCTTCTTCTCTTGTTCAAAACAAGTCTAGGTCTAGAAACTCAAAATTGGCCATCATTTACTTTTCTTTCTTTCCTTTTTCCTTTTGTTTTGTTTTGTTTTGTTTTTGTTTTTTTGTTTTGTTTCTTTTTTTGGTAGATGTGATGTGGAATGTCATTTTGATGCATTGTAAATAGTTTGGGTGCCAAATTATTATGGATGACAAAAATAGGACTCCAGTGCTAAAAAATGGTTCTTAAGCATAGGACTCTAGTGATTAGACCATGAATTTCTATGGGCCAAAATGTTGTTTTTGATGTAAAAGTAAGAACAAGACATCTATCTAACATTGGAACAGAACGAACAAAATAGAGGCAACCAAATGCTATTCTTTGTGATTTTTTTATTTTTA